GTTTTGGTATACTGGTGATCGGTTTCGGTGTATAATGTATGGGGTTCGAGTATCATATAAGGGGGTTTCGGTGTATTGTGTGATCGGTTTCAGTGTATATTGTAAGGGGTTCGGTGTATTATATAAGGGGTTTCTGTGTTCTGTGATCGGTTTCCGTGTGTAGTGTGTGGGGTTCGATGTATCATATAAGGGGGTTTCGGTGTATTGTGTGAACGGTTTCGGTGTATAGTGAATGGGGTTCGGTGTATCATATCAGGGGTTTCTTTGTATTGTGTGATCGGTTTCGGTGTATAATGTATGGGATTCGGTGTATCATGTGAGGGGGTTTCGGTGTATTAGGTGATCAGTTTCGGTGTTTAGTGTATGGAGTTCGTTGTATCATATAAGGGGATTCGGTGTATTGTGTGAGCAGTTTTGTGAGCAGTTTCGATGTATAATGTATGGTGTTTGGTGTATCATATAAGGGGGTTTCGGTGTATTGTGTGACCGGTTTCGGTGTATATTGTATGGGGTTCGGTGAATTATATAAGGGATTTTGGTGTATTGTGTGATCGGTTTCGGTGTATAATGTATGGGGTTCGGTTTATCATATAAGGAGGTTTCGGTGTATGGGGTTCGGTGTATCATGTGAGGGGGTTTCGAAGTATTGTGTGATCGGTTTCGGTGTATAGTGTATGGTGTTCGGTGTATCATCTAAGGTGTTCTTGTGTGCTGTGATCGGTTTCGGTGTGTCATGTGTGGGGTGTGATGCATCATATGAGGGTGTTTCGGTGAATTGTGTGATCGGTTTCGGTGTATATTGTATGGGGTTCGGTGTATCGGTGTATTGTGTTTCGGTTTCGGTGTATAATGTATGGGGTTCGGTGTATCAAATGAGGGGCTTCGGTGTATTGTGTGAGCATTTTAGATGTGTAGTGTATGGGGTTCGGTGTATCATATAAGGGGTTTCGGTTTATTGTGTGATCGGTTTTGGTGTATAATGTATGGGGTTCGGTGTATCATATAAGGAGGTTTCGGTGTATTGTGTGATCGGTTTCGGTGTATAGTGTATGGCGTTCGATGTATCATGTAAGGGGGTTTCGAAGTATTGTGTGATCGGTTTCGGTGTATTGTGTATGGTGTTCGGTGTATCATATAAGGTGTTTCTGTGTGCTGTGATCGGTTTCGGTGTGTCATGTGTGGGGTGTGATGCATGATATGAGGGTGTTTCGGTGTATTGTGTGATCGGTTTCGGTGTATATTGTATGGGGTTCGGTGTATCGGTGTATTGTGTTTCGGTTTCGGTGTATAGTGGATGGGGTTCGGTGTATCAAATGAGGGGCTTCGGTGTATTGTGTGAGCAGTTTCGATGTGTAGTGTATGGGGTTCGGTGTATCATATAGGGGGTTTTGGTGTATTGCGTGATCGGTTTTGGTGAAAAGTTTCTCGGGGTGTATTGTGCGATGGTTTTTGGTGTATTCTATCAAGAGTTTTGGTGTATTGTTGAAGGTGTTGGTGTATAGTGTGAGGGGTTCGGGTGTATCATGTGAGGGAGTTCGATGTATGGTTTGGTGTATCGTGGAAATGAATTAGGTGTATTGTTTGAGGGGTTCGGTGTATTTTGGAATTGAGTTTGATATATTGCATACATTTGACATTATGCAAAATACATCTACAATTCACCTTACTTGAAATATTGGGATTCCGTATTTCGTAATTAAGTAAAGGTCATTTTTGTTAGGGTACTTAATATTACTTAATCCCAAGTGTATATTGACCACAAATAATGCCCTCAGATCTTCTAGAACTTGAGAAAAAAAAGAAAAAAAAATGTTAACGGGAAAACCAGGATAGTTTTTAGGTTATACATGTACGCTAAATATCGTATAACCAAAAAATATTCATTGTTATCCCTTTTAATTTGATGAAAAAGACAGACACATTTAAGTTTATTACAGATGAATATTTATAAATTTCTGATATAGCTGATATTATTTTCCACAAAACATTGCGCAGTAATTTCATAGTCAAGCACTTTAAACCAGTCAGAAATTAGAATAACAAAAGGTTATCCTTGTTGGTTTTTTTTGTGTTGTTTTTTCCACATCGCTTAAGTTGAAAACCAGTTTTGTTTTAATCGAATCTTGTAAATATTTAATATAATCAACTTCCTTAATCCGATAAGTTATCGCTCAACAAAAATTTAAAATCATTAAAATTATCAAATTTTGAAACCTTATTTTACAAATATTGTCAGATATACATGATATTTTCATTGGAAGATTTGAAATATCTGACGCTAATTTCGTACTCTTGTATTACATAAATGAAATATAGATTCGGTTATCCATAATAAATAAACAACATTAACAGCGTTAGCAAGTGTACACATTGCAATCATAGAAAGGTACATGTAATTAATCATAACAATTAACGGTAGCGAATGAATGTCCTTATTGTGGACTTTTTTGGAAATATATCACCTGAAATATTCTATAAATTACAATGTATATACCCCAATCATGCATAACCATCTTTAAGATTTTTCGGAAATTCAAAAAATATGGAACACAATATTACACAGTGTTAACAGAAAATGAGAAATTCGAAACTGAATGTCGACAAGGACAGAAATAGGAACCGATTGAACTCAAAACTAAATTATGATCACAATGAAAATGTAGCAGAACTCAACAGGTCTTACTAAGCTGATAATCTGAAAATTAATTATCAAACAAAGTCGTTCATTTCTTCATGACTAACATATTGGTGATGCACACTTAATCATGAACAGTCATATAAATGCAATGAGTGTTTATATCTAATTTGGTGGCAGCTACCGGTAACGACTTGCACCAAAACTAAGAAGAAAGGATGCAAGATGTATCACTAACTTGCATTCAAATGAATGTGGCTGCATCCCGGCTGACGAATGAAACAACGCATTGCAGAGTTGTTCCTTTATGTTACTTCTATTATGGATACATAAATGGTTGAATAAGCCATTCCGTTGTGATGATTTCTGAAGGGCAACGGAAACCCGTTGTTAAAAGAGACTAGGGTGGATAAAGAAGGGTCAAACTGTTCACCATTTTACGCTTAACTTCTTTAAACATGCTTCTTCTTATACAGAATAATAGCCTGCCATCAACATACCGATCAATCAACTCGTATTTGTATACCATGACCTTGCAGTAAACGCATGGCGGTTGTTGTATTGAGATTTTGAGACAGCGACATATCATTTTCAAATGTTTTGCCCACTGTTATGGAGTAAATATGTGTGCTTTCTGGTATACCTAATCATTTTAGGTGATACACTATTAGACATCTGTGTTCAAAAGGGTTTGTTGTTGGTATCAAGCAAGTAGTGTCTTTATTTCAAACCTTACCTACAGCTGTAACACACACAATCTCATGCTTTTACATGGTCCTGACTTTTTAAAACGGATTGGAAGGCAAAATATGTAAAACCGGAAAAAAGTTTTTGAGTAAATGACAATATGCTGAAATTAAACTTACATAACACAAAAATTCCTTATTTTAGTTCAAAGTACCCGATGAAAAAAGTGCGATTTTCAGCCGAAGGCCTTTTCCATTAGGAACCTATAAAACACTAAAGTTGCCTGTGGCCCACTCTATCGACTATGGTACTGTCGCTTGTATATTTGATGCAATGACGAGCCGTGTGCAGAAGGTTCTACTTGGCTAGGTACCCGTACACCGAAACGAAAGTACATTTCATCTGTATTGAATTTTCTTCACTAGTTTCCTGAACAGTACCTATCACAAAGCATTATTATAATGTGTACAAAAAAGACAATTAACGAAGCTTGCAGGAAAATACCAGTCTCTATCAGCAGAAAAGATCATTGAAATAGAAGTCGAGATCTTGTTTAAATCTTGTCGGGTGTTCCAAATTCTGATAACTTTGTTTATTCATTTTTGTCTGTGCATTATCTGCTACACGCTATTGACAAATCCGCGCTGACTGTCACGGTTACTGATATTGGTTCATACATTCATATTATTGAATCTACACGTAAATATATACTAGTATATATACATGTAAGTGGTCTACGCGCAATTAATTTTACAGGAAATTCTGACTTTCATAAGACTTAAAAATGTCTCTTTAACGTAAATTCAATAAAGCTGCCAGTGGCATTATTAGTTTTATCCCATGAAAAATTATTTATGCGTAATAAGTAATGATGTTTTAAGAAAATATCTACAAATATACAAATAATAATTCATTTCTAAAAAATACGAATAAAATTAAGACTTTCTTAACTCATTAGACGTCCTTTAAGAATTGACATGCAGTTTTCAACTTGTCTATTTTTCGTTCCTCCCACGTTCCCTTCACAGAAGACATGTACGAAACCATAACCAATTTAGCCCTCTTACAATATGTTGTGGAATGCAGCAGTTTTATGTTCCCCGCGAACTTATATGTGTTATGTGGATTCCTTCATTTATGTTACCACAGTAAAACACTAACATGAACAAAACCCTGTCACAAAGGTCACGTAGCCACGGTCACAACACTGTTTATAATAAAAACCTGTTTCGGATATAGCTCGGTAATCACAGCAACTACAGTTTTTTTTGTATACATCTGTATGATCATTCAACCAAAGTAGCAATACTGTTATGCATATAATCCCGTATCAACGGTTACAACTCTGTTATGAATATAACCCTGGTACCACAGTAACGACACTGATATGAAAAGAAGAAAACCTGTAACCACGGCAACACACTGCTAAGAATAGCCTGCTACGTTGCTTAAGAGTAAAACCCTGTAACCACGGTTACATCTCTGCTGTGAAGATAACGTTTTAACCATGGTAACAACTCGGCTAACAGCGATACCAAGAATATAACCTGTAACCAAGGTTATAGCGCTGCTTAGAATATAACCCGGTTACCACGGTTACAACTCCGCTAAGAATGTAAATTTTTAACAACGGCAACAATGTGAACAGGAACAAAAACGGAAAGTCAACTTGATTGCAAGAAATTTATTGAAAAAAAAGCATAAAGCTATAGAACATATAAAACATTAGGATAAATTAAAGAAAACAAGCTAACTAGTCTCGGTTTGATAGAGCATATAATTTAACAAATGCAATATCATTTTAGTCCTTGTGAATCCTTCGAAATCTCATTCCTTCAAATACAGCTACCGATATAATAAACAATGTCAATTTTAATTTAAAATGTTTCTGATTAAAACAATAATCATTTTCTCAAATATTTATATTTTGATAAAAATCGTCAGGAATTAAACAAACAATAATCTCCTTCGCGATGTATACTTTCTAGCAATCACACGAACCAGCTGTTGTAAAGGACCAAAGTTAGCGATTTCTGGCACTCACGCGCCTTAAGAAAGCACACAGAAATAGAATGATAACATAGTTCAAAGACAAAAGGGACATGCGTTTGATTCAGTTTGTTCCATGATGTCGATTAATTGGGTCTTACGACGAGACCGGCCAATCACAGGTTTTGCTCGATGTTTTGAAGACGAGTCCCGTGGGGCAATTCATCGCTGTCAATAGACCGTCTGGTGTACACATGTAGAAGATATTGGGGTCATTTTCATCAACGTTAAGCTCACCGGGTTGGCATGTTTCAGGTTCGTCTTCAGAATCTATTTTTGTAAATATAAAGAGTGAATATCAATGGTTGGTTAGTGTCATGCTATAAATGAGGAGAGATTATCACGAATAAGTGCTTGGATCATTTTTCAAACTCGTCAAAGTAAGACCAATGTACATCTTCATTAGTGAAAAGGAACATTGATTTTAGGGGAAAGTTGGTTAAATTCAAAAATGTTATTCTATAGAAATGATGTTCTGTTTAATTGTTCATGTTACCGTCCTATTTATATAAACTTGATCGATGCAAATGTAAAACAAAACTTCCTTATTTCAACCCCACATTTTCATGGAAAATGAAAATTGCCATCGACACTGACCTTTATCACTATCGCAGCCCACCCTTTGCTTGTGGTTGCACGTGACCTTCTCTTGGTCCCAATAGGTACCGATGCTGCAGTTCATCACAGTGTTGGTATGGCTACAGGACACATATTGCTTGCAGTTGCGTGGCAACGCGGCATTTGGGTCCTTTTCCATTCTCCGGCTCTTGCAGGATTCAACTGAGGAGAGGTAAAATATGTTTGTTCTTCATTATTTGTGTAAAGGACTTTTTTGGCCTCATAAAAAGTAAAAAATTCAAACTGAATTTATTTACCAATTTCTGTTATAAACGTCATATTGAATAATTGGCGCTTTTCTTTTTTGAAAAGTGTTGTTCCAATACGCATGCTTAGATGTGCTTCCCTAGCAACAAAATTACGTTGCTATGTAGAATAACCAAAATATGGTGTGTTTGGACAGTAGGCATGCAGAAATGAAAGCCTGTTACAAACAAAAATACCTTTCTGCGAATGCACACTGATATGACGATGTTTAAGCATGCCACATATTTATTTGTGTGTTAAATGCAGAGACTTTTAAAAATTGAAGAGTGTGAGGTCAATTTCCTTTAAAATGGCAAATTGCCAACCAAATGACGCACTACAGATGGTATTCACGCATTTAATTACGAAAATATATGTCTCTCTTTGTAATGCCATATCTCCTAAACCAGTTGTCGAATAAATTTGATATTTCATATTTGCGTACTTCATTTATTCAATATTACGAATATATTTACTATTTCGTAATCCCTGATGAGGTCAGAAAATAAATGACCCTTAACGCCCCTGGTCCTTTAGTATATATATACTTTTTGGGAGTTATTTCTAAGATTTATTTAAGTTGTATTGATGTCTTCGCAGACAGATGCAATAAGATGATCTCGCCAAAACATCTGCAGGAAAATTTTAAAAAGTGGAATAGACTTAATTGCTTTATATTTTATTCTCATCATCGTCGTTATTCGACGTTTGTTTTTACTTTGCTGTGACAGGCCGAAACCACGCTAAGACATTTTTAGAAAATGCTATGGAACTCTGAACACGCGCGTGAGAGGTCAAAAATACTAAAAACCGATACAAGATTTCCGTTGCCGACGATATTTTGATGTGTCAGGGGCAGTAAACACTGACAGGTAGTAACACATTGATATCCGATTAAAGCGGTGTAGCCGATGACTCACTCCTCTGTACGGATTGTAAGTACCTGAGTACTTATTTTGCATGTTTTGTGTCATATAAAAAATATTATTTACTGTTAAATCAGATATTTTCGTAGAGCACATATTTCGTGGTTTCCCAACAAATCACCATTTAGTTGGAACATGAATTCGTGGATTACGAGTACCCGCTTACAACTACTTCATGGACCTTGACATTCTTGGATGAAGAGATTACCCTCGAAATTAACGAAATTAAAAATCCGACAAAAATTCGCACAGTGATTTTACAATATATAAGCATGGGTATTTTAGGACCCTCTGCAAATGACATTTCCCCTCGACTTTCGGCAGAATTCTGGTGATATCACATTTTTTCAAGTCAACAAAAACGCGTGTTAAACAATAATACAATGAAATTGTATATGGCTTTGATATCCTTTGATGTTACAAACCTAGACACTCTCCCTCAAAGCAGTCTCTGATTTCTAAATCCATTGATTCCCCGTCACAGTCTCGCCCGCCGTACTGGGGTTTTGGGTTAGTGCAAGTTCTGTTCCTGTTCCTGGACTGGTCACACTCTCCGGAACAAATGCTCCAAGGTGTGAAAGCCGAGTAATCAGTCCAGCCGCCATCAACTGTGGTTATAAACAGACGTTGATTAAATTGTAGTACTAATCGTCCTACTAATTCGTGTTTCCTGTAGCTTTGATTTACTCGTCTTACTTCCATCACATATTGATCAAATTTAACACAAAATAATTTACCGCCCTTTTCCGATCCTCTGTACGCATTTCTTTACCTGGCGTGATATATGACTTAGTCCATCAAACATGCCAGGGTTGATATATGGTTTAATACATCAAACATGCCAGGGTTGATATATGGTTTAATAATCAAACATGCCAGGGTTGATATATAGTTTAATACATCAAACATGCCAGGGTTGATATATGGTTTAATACATCAAACAAACTTTCTGAAAAAAATTGTACAGCGATATTAGTGGATCCAGGTACATGCGTATGTTCTATCAATATGACCCTTGTTTTCTTGCAATAAATCGGAAAGTACTACTTGCAGTTCAGGTGCTTTGTTTTCTAAACCTATTGATATAATTTGCATATACAAATAGCATAACATTCAAGATCAAAATCTATCAAGCAAACGTCGTTCGGCTCTTAATAGTTTAAATGGTAAGTGTCTGAACAACCAATATCTGTTTGGGATCGACACACTTATCCACTTTCGTTTTCCTTATCCTGGCCCATACAATTCTTATTTTCAAAACATTTATCATGCATTCCCCATATAACCTTTTAATCAAAATGTAAATTTACCAAGAAATCAATCATGCCGTCATCACACAGGAGAACTTAAAGTCGAAATCCCAATACAAAGGCAACAACCGAGAAAAACGGTTTCGCCGTGCTTATTGGTTTCAGTTAATCACTTTTTAATGCAGGGAAGTCTTGACTCTTTTGCTTTGAGTCTCAACAACAACACTCGTTCTTGCGTACTTACTTGGGCAGTGCTTTTCAAAACAAGATGCTGTTTTGGTTTCCGATGCTGATTCCTTGCAATCATCCCCTCCGTATTGCGGTGAAGGATTGTTGCATTCCCTGTTACGCTCCATAGATTTGATGCCTTTGTCACAGGTGACGGAGCACGAAGAGATGTCCTTGTAATCTGACCATTGACTCCATTTACCATGAACTGAAATCACGAGTTAGAATCACATGACATATCAGTTAAAATTGAGAACCAAAAGTGAATCAAAAGAAAACAAAACCGAACATGTATTTGCCTCACAAGTCCCTTCTTTTCGACATTTACTTTAACCGTTTCGAACCATTGTGTCACAAAATGCGTCTTACTTGGACATGGATGGGTGTTGCAATTGCGGCTAACGGACTGGCGGTAGTCAGATTCGGTACAAGAATTACCGCCGTTAAAAGCAGGGACTTTCACACTCCTCGTTTTGATTCCATTCTGAATGCCCCCACCACACTTGACGGGGCATGGCTTGTAGACAGGAGCACTCCAATCGGACCACTGACAGTGAGCTTTATAAGAAAAATAGAAATTCAAACGCTTTAAAATTTTCAAACGCTTTAAAATTATCTGGAGTGCTGCCCGACCATCCGGGCCAACAGGGGTGATGAATATAAGTTGAAATAGTTGTTTCATAATTGTTTCAAAACAAATTTATTTATATTTTTTATATAACAATATTGTCTTATTGAATTGCATATAAAATTACATGAACAAGAAATACAATTTTCACAAAGATGAAAGAAAGAATATGTATATGTATTCAAATGGAAGGCAAATCATTTTTATATAAAGAAAAAAAAAGTTGGATAAATATATCTGTTTGAAATCCTCGGCGTAAATATTTCGAAGAAAAATAATAAGAGGCCCGATATTACAAGTCAAACCATGTTGCATCATGAGGTTCATTGCGTAATTCATAATTTTGTGTGGACTGGATATGTGTCTTTATTCAACTTACTACAATACTCGTCCATGTAACAGGTCTTTTGTACGTTGTAATATTCGGGTCTGTGAAAACAAGATTAAGTGATGTATTATTTTATGGAGAACAAAGTGAAGCGACATTTATTTGGTCAGTTGACAAGACGGTAAAAGTACATATATTCAAATCTGTGAGGACAAGGCAACGTTACATGTATTTAGTTTTGTTTAAACAAGAACAAATGTTAACAACAATTACCGTGACTATCACGACATCAGCAATAAACGCGTTTCATCAAGCCCAAAATTATCCCTTCATTTATAGTATGAAACACATGAGAATTTGAATTTAGTTCTCTATACATACCGTGACAGTTATGGTAACGGTAAAAAAAACATCGGGTAATGAACCGTGTCAGTGTTTGTAGTAGTAAGTAAACATCGGGTAATGAACCGTGTCAGGTGTGGTAGTAATAAGTAAACTTCGGGTAATGAACTGTGTCAGTGGTGGTAGTTGTAAGTAAACATCGATTGAGCAAAAATCCATTTGAATATATTGTAAATATACTGTAAATATACTCACACATAACGGTAACACTTGCCCAAACCCCACCAACCGCAAGAGTATTGTTCCCTCTTTGAACGCGAGAGTCTCTCCGTGCAGGTACGTTTGTTGCTGCATGTTGCTCTACAACGACAAACCCGTATGAAAACAACTGACAGTACAACAAACTTATAAAAAGTAACTCAATAATACACAAAACGTAGAAGTAGAAAACAGGAACATATTTTTTGATAAATGTCAACTTTAATAACCATACGAATCTTTTGTTTTGTATTTCTTTATTACTGAACAATAAAAGATGAACTCAATCAATAATTGCATAAGCGAGGTAAGAAATTTATATGACGCACATACACACACACAAACGACCCCCACATACACACACACAAACACCCCCCAAATACACACACACAAACACCCCCCACATACACACACACAAACACCTCCACATACACCCCCCACAAACACCCCCACATACACACAAACACCCCACACACAAACACAAACACCCCCACAAACACACACACAAACACCCCCCACATACACACACACAAACCCCCCACCCCCACCCCATCCCCACATACACAAACAACCCCCACACACAAACACACTTTCACTGAATTCCAATGCATGTAACACAGTTTGTGTTCAATTGTACCAAAGGCTAATTCTTTATCTTCTGTCATATTGTATTTCTATAGGACGAGATAAAACAGAAGGTCTTAGCAGAAATAAGTTCAGAAGGAAAAAAAGAAGATGTTTGCAAATTCTAAGAAGAGATAATATAGGTATGAGATATAAGAAGACTGCTAAGGGAAGCAGAAGTATACAATTAACTCTTTGTGTGTGTGTGCGCTGTATATGATTTTACCTTTGTCATGGGAGGTGGACCTGTATAACTAAACATTCACGTAACAGACCAAAAACATAGTGCATCTTATTCGGTCGTTGAATCACATAACAAATACTGCAAAAACGTGACATAGTTATTATGATATCACACCATCAACATATATCTAAAAAAATCTGATCTTGATTCGTTTTTTGCATTCTGTATCTATCGGTGTAAACACATCAGTTTGTCTTACATGTCATGATGCATCGTGGAATACTCTGCTAATGGGATTTGTAGTCTCCGAGTTTTGGCAGTATTATGGTACTTGTAGTAGTAAGTATTTTTGAAGTAGAGGCATGGTTCATAATGTACACACGTCACTCATTATTCGTTTTAAATCTTTCAGTACCCCTATGATTGTTTAAAGTCATATAGTTACATTATAACGGGTTAAAAGCACACTTTCTTCTGTTTCAAAAATGATTAAGACTAATATGGATTTCCACCTTTTTGTCCCAAAACATCACACGTTTTCTTCCGTTGCTTCATCCGTGAATTTGTAACTGAAAATCTACGCAGTAAATAGATAGTACGCAATATCAAAAGTGATATCTTCACATGCGAAGATATTACATTAAGTATATATTCACGGCAGTAAAAATATAGGTGTTTTACCTGATATTTCCCGGGTGTAATTGTTATATATAGATATATTCTTCGAAATTAATGAGCTATGCTGCACATCTTCTCTCAACATCTGGTGGATTACATCGTGTTCTATGGATGGACGTGAAGTTTGTTTGAATATATGTTAAATACATTCCCGTGTATTTGATTTATAAATATGATATTTGCAAAATACAAATGGGATTAGACACAAGTAGAAAAACTTGAAATTCGTCTTCTCCATTAAAACAATAATGATGAAATATACATATGGCTGCAAAGTAGAAAAAATGATGACTGTGAATTAAAATGATTCAAATTTGATGTAAGGATACATCATTTAGATTATTTTGTATTGTATATACCCTTACATGTCTTAACACCCTGCATATAATATAACATACGTGATAACACAACTCTAGCATAGTAAACAACACGTTCTTTTAAATTGATACTGCTTTAAATGATACATGCCATAGAGTAACTTAAATAGTTAAAAAAAAAAAAGTGCCTTTGAAATAAACAACATGGCAATTTGATGACATAGCAGACCGCATCACACTATGCTCATATCCTTGAAATTTTCCATACAGCTCATCCCATCATAATGTCAAAATGCCATAATAACCAAACCGTTTTGAATTTTAATAATTATGAGTAAACATGTATGGACCATACAAAAGTAAATCAGTAGTTATATAATATAAATCAAAATCCTTAAAAGTTTTCTCCTGAGTTCTAGTTCCTGTATTGAATAAACATTCTAAGAAAAATATACTCAACATTTTCGATCGGATAAGAACATCTGCATTCAGGCGAATGAATAACATTTATACGTTTTAAGTCAGAACTTAAAAAACTACAATTTTACATGAGTCTTGTATGCATAACATTAAATTCACTGTAACAAAGAAGAAGAAGAAGAACAACAACAACAACAATAACAACACAAAAGAAGTTACTGAAGTATAAAATGCAACGGAGCTGAACAGAAAATATAATTACGTAAATTCATAGCAACACTTACGCTGATGCTTCGCACAGCAAGGAGCTCAGAACAAAGAAGGCGAGGAGGGCTCTGACCGAGTTTACCGCCATGATAGGAAGTTATATCCTGTACTATGAATCTGTACATGGTGTACTCATATTTATAGGCAGAATGCATTGCTTGACATTTTGGCAGGCAAAGAAACATAACACAATGTTCAAATATTAATCAGCTCTGTGTCAGCAACAACGTGGTAGGCAGTAGTTTATATCCTGTCGTACCTTAAAACACAAACACGATGTCATTTCCCAATGTAAACTTCAAAAAGTGGGGTCAACCCCGAGGAGTAACTTGAGCATTGGTTCCCTATAACAGTATCAGACAAGGGCAACTTTTGGCATCACACGATTGTGTATAGTAGATATTGGACTATGGTAACATAATAAAGTTCTTGTTGTAGATCTTCCATTTGAACAAGCAAGGGTACTTGCGATAATGATGCGTTCAAAAAGTTTAAAAAATAAAACAAAATTATAAGCAAATTCATTTTAGATTTTTATTAATATAGCAATTTACTTACCCAAAAATATAAAAAATATACACTTTTAGTCAAAAGAAGATTTGTTTTTTATAACAAAAAAATGCTAACCTTTGCAGAACAAAACTTTTTTTTCTGTATGAAATGAACAAATTCTTTAAATTCTGATTAAGTATAAACTAAAAATATATATAGAAAATATGGTGGGTGCTTAATGGACGAAATAGTTCACCATCGCCATTAACTTTAAGTATCAGTAAGTCTGCTCATAATAGGGATCAGAACAATAAAATGTGATCATACACATTGAAAACAACAACTTTTAAGGATTCAATAATTTCTATCGATTTTTGTGATTCACGGATATTGAATATGATAAAATCAGTCAAGTTATTTAGACTCGAAGCAAAACATGCTTAGTTATGAAATGGTAGAATTCAAATAGAAACAATAAACAAGCTTTTGTTGCTGCTTGATATTTTAAAAAACCTGTAACAATGACCTTTTTAACTCTTTCATAGCAAATTATTACCTGAAGGAGTGCATTTCATGTATTTGCTTTTTCAAATTTGCACTCGTGACTATTTACGAAATCGTTGCTTTTTGTAAAATTCGCTTGCACTGAACAAAATTCATTGTTGCTAGCAACGGTACACTGTGTAGATGAATTGATGATGTTTTCTATACATGTATTTTATATCAAACATATTATAATTCATATTATCACTATATAACGACAGGCTGAAGACATTTTTAGAAAATTGTCAAGATTTTGAAATGTCATGAAAAATATATGTTCATATGCAAATATATTGTTTACCAAAGCTGTAGAAAATCACGTAAAAAACAAAATGCAAAGGTATTCAAACTATGAATGAGTGTGGTATGGTGAATGGCAGGAAGCCCTCCTTCGTTGCGGAGATCAACTTGTTTAGATAGTGGAACTTAGTGTCCCTTAATACTGTCAATCCTTTACATTTTATACATCCTTACATGTATAGTCGCTGGGACTGATGTTTATGATATATCACATGTAATGCGGAGGAAAATATATATCTCAAACTTTAAACAAAATGTATCGCTACTAATATGTCTTTCATTCGTCAATCTTTCACCTCAGTTCTCATCTTTTAGTTGCAATATAATCTTGAAAAATACCTATATTATTGTTGCAATTTTGTTATTTTTTAAATAACAGTTAATGCTTCGACTACGATTGGGTAGTGCTTCGGAGGTATAATTTCATAGATAATACACGCATAAACAATAAAGAAGTGATTAAAGATCCTTATTAGGTTACCGACTGATAAATAGTTTTATAGTGTTTTATAATTATTTCCATAGCTTGGTTTGTCTGTTAAAAGATATAAATTAATTTTTTTACTCCTTATCAAAGTCCAATATAAAATAATGACGCGATTAGATGTTTGCGAATCTGTCACTTTACATCCGTTGATATAAAGTCAATTATGTCTTTTATGCACCTTCCACCCTGTCACATTAACAACCAAAGTGAAAATGATAACCGTATAGTGACTGTACAAACATGACTAAAGCAAACATATGATGGATACAGATAACTATTATCTGTATTTAAAACAAATACATAACTTGCTTAACATCAGCCTAAGTGGGTTTTTATTCAATCGCTAAATGACCACAATTATCAGACAACTCTTGTAATTGCATGCATTGCTGCTATTATTTTTTCTATATACAAGTATTCGGATATAACTCAAACAATAATTATTCTTTATACTTATCTGCCGTAGCTTCATCACTAAATAAACATTATACCTTTAGATTTCTCTTATTTCGAAATCCAAACACACCAATTAATAAAAGCTTGCAGAACAAATCGTTAAGTACCTTTGTGATATATATCCTATGAAATATAAGTACTTTTTAATATACCTATATATTGTTTTCTTTAATTGGATCCAGATGGGTTTTTTTCTTATTTGAGTTTAAACAAAGATACAAGTACAACATAAGCTCTCTGTAAATCTGTCCTACGTTGTCATGCTACATGTGTATACGTTAAATTGATGTTTGAAGACCCCCTTAGTGCGTATAGTGTTTCTAACCATTTTGAATATCTATAGGTTTACTTGACATAAGAAAAATTAGTTGACAAAGTAATTTTACATGAAAGTAAACATGTTTTTAGTTTGACAGAACAGATTTTTTCTTTTTAAACAAACAAACAATAAAGCGTCTATTATCAGAACGAAGAAACGTTTACTTAGCAAAATGAGAAATCGATACTCTATGTACCTTCCCGCCTTTCTCATCGTGTACAATATCTACTTTGTTAATTGTTATACAACCAGACATGTCTAAAAGAGGTTTTTTCTACAATTACTCGTTTATTCATTGCCCATATGCTTCTGTTTTAACTACAACTAAGGAGAGTTCCAATATACTCGGCATGTTTCAATCTTGAAGTTTCTTGCCAAATGCCTATGAAATGAAACCTAAAGTTATTTAAATTCTTATTAAGTATAAAATGATTTTTTTATAGAAAATGTGTTGAGTGCATAAAAATGTTTCAGTAAGCGCTTTTTCTTCATATGTTATGCTTATGACTTTATTGTGAAGGGTTACAGGGTTGTATTCAGTAATATATGAAAATCAGACAACGTACAAGATTTCTTAAAATTGTTATGTGTTAGTTCGCTCATTTTAGTTAGAGGAAATATCTATCATTATATGTTACAGTAGTTGTCACGCCTTTCCGGATAGCATAAACGAACGTCCGACGGACAAAAATTTTGCGAAAGAACGTAAGAAAGTTATTCGTTATTCCGCATAACGATTTATGAATAACTGTTCAACTTTTCTCTAGCTTTGTTTTTATCTATCGATTCAGGCGGGAGACAGCATTTGACGTCAGCTGTTTCACTTGCTGTTCTTCTTGTCGATCTTGTAACACTAATAACGATGGGGAATTTTAAACTGTAGAGGAAAGATTTAATCCTGATCTGATCATGACAAATCAATTAAAGCGGTCAAAGATATTTAAACCCAACTTTCAGTGACTTGCCTTTCGTTTATTTCTTTGTTTAGTTTTACACTGCATCATTTCCCTTATTTGATGCTATACGAATTTATTTCAAAACTTTCCTTGTCGTTTGATTTTGGTAAGAGTTTTAAGATCCTGCAAGAAAACGTAGTCAGAAAAATACCTACAAGATGTATGTAGTAGTAAATAAAAAACTTGTGACATGTTACAATATTATTTTTTTCTGATAGCATGGGTATAAATAGCTAAATAGTTAAATATTTTTCCATACATGTATATTATTATCAATTGCAAGTTGATTATATTGGTCTTTAATATATAAAAGAATGAATTTTACCAATTGAATTGAATGAAAAGCTCAAAACATTATAATTGTGAACATATATTTTCCCCAATTCATTTATTAATCTCATATTAAACAAACACCATCAGTTCGGTATACCTGATATCGTTCGTGTGAAAGCGACAAGACGATTACGATTGACAAACCTCAGTTGATAGTTTTGTCGGCAAACATAATAACCTATATACCTCTTTGCATTGTGCAGATTCCAATGATTGGATAAAATGACCACTAGATTATCTTGTTAGCTCCATAGATAGTTCGAGTATATTTAATTTAGTTTTACTTAAGTCTAGACATTCCGTGTGGCATTTCTTTTTCCTATTCTATTCAGGTATTCTCTAGGTCGAACGAGAAAGGTTTGTTAACACGAGATAATGGCAGGTGGTAAATAAATTGAAGAGCACTATGGGCACTTAGAAAAAGAAATAATTATTTCCTGTAAATTATCAACTCGAAACGACTTAATAACCCGATATTGCAAGATAATACCTCGGAATTTAGACATAATAACTGAAAATTTTACTTAAACCAGATTCTGTCCAATCCGGATCTCTGTGTAACCTAGAAGCACTTTGGTGCAATCTTGGACATTTTATAATGTACTGAAACTTACTAATTTGATACAGTTTATTGTACTGTAAATTGTATTTAAACCAGATTCTTTTTAATCTGGATCTGTGTGTAAAACGGCCAAATATTTTGGTCTTTAATTCTTTAACATTATTTATTAAACTCAGGACTCTGTAAACCAGCTTTGTTTCCTGGTCTTCTACTTTCTATACAATATCAAATACACTATCTGTGAATCTACATCACGTTCTGTTCTAGTTCTGTTCATTTTCAACTTTCACTAACAAAAATTGTAAATAAAAGATGATATCCTGGAAAGAACGTGTTGTGATGCAGGTATAGAAAGTATTTGACCGGGAAACGGTCGGTTTACAGAATGGGTTTAATCAATAACGTTATAGAGTTAAAGACAACGTTTTTGCAGGTTTACAGAAAGATCCAGATTGAACAGAGACTGGTTAAAGCAGTTATTATTATCTCGAAATTTCGAGTTATTATCTAGAAGTTTCGAGTTAGTAACTCGTCATTTCGAGTTATTGCACGAAAAATCGAAGTTTATTTGTATTCTACATGGCCCTTATGCTCTTCCGTACTGTTAGTTTACTGACTGATAAATAGTTTTATAATGTGCGGATTTAAGAGTATTTGTATAATTATTTCCATAAATTGCCTTGGCTTTAATCCGGTATAAACTACTCTTTACTCTATATACGAACACTTAAGAAAGTCAAATCTTTAATAATGAAGGGATTTTTATGTTTGCCAATCTGTCACTTTACATCCAATTTGATATGAAATAAATAATGAATTGAATGCACCTTCCGTCCTGTTACGTAAGCAACCAAAAGAATATATGAGTGAATATAGGGACCGTATGGTGACTTATAATATAGTTTACAAACAATAAATTCACAGACATGACAATGACAAATATTTGACAAATACAGATTGGAATTATCTAGATTGTAAAAACAAAATCATTAGTTGATGAACATCAGCCTATATGGCTAAGTGGGATTTTATTCAATCGCTAATTGACCACGATTATCAGACAACTCTTTCAAATGCATGTATTACAACTAAAATATTTTTTCATACAAATGTTATATTACAATGTAACTCTGAAAATAATTATTCCGTATACTTATTTGCCGTAACTTCACCACTGAATAAACATTATACAATAATATACCTTTACATTCCTGTTTTATAAACATTTCAAAATTCAAACTCTCTAACTAATAAAAGCTTGCAGAACAAATCTTCCAGTACATTTGTCATTTATATTAGATGTAATAATAACGTACTTTTTAATACATATATATATATATTTATTGGAAACTAATTTTCTTCTTCTTTGGGTTTAAACAAAGATATAAAGTACAAAATCACCACTATGTCAATAGGAAAACTATTCTAGGTTGCTTTCTTATATATGTGGCAAGTGTAATTAATGTTTGAAGAGCCCCTTAGTTTGTATAGTGTTTCTGATCATTTTAAATTAAGTTTACTGACATAACAAAATTAGTTGACAAGGAAATTCGACATGATAGTGAATTTGTTTTTTATTTGCCAAAGCGGATTGTTTTTCTTCTGAAGCAGACAAATAACAAAGCGTCTATTATTAGAACGAAAAAAAGTTTGCTTAGCAAATTGAGAAAACGATACTTTATGTACCTTCCCGCCATTTCTCATCGTGTACAATATCTGTTATCTCTGTTTTTAATGACTAAATTCAAATAGTACTACGTTAATTGGAATACAACCAAACATGTCTAAAAGTGGGTTTTCTACAATTACTCGGTTATTTATTGTCCATATGCTTCTTTTTAAATACAACTAAGGAAATTGCGGTTCTGCATGTTTTAGACTTGAAGTTTCCTGTCAGTTAAGAAAGTTTTTCATCGGAATGAAATATATTATTATAACACACACACACACACACNCACACACACACACACACACACACACACACACACACACACACACCCCATCCAACTACTCCCGCCCCTTCCAAAGCCCACAAAAACTAACAAAAACAAAACTTAAACAAATAAACCTTTTGATAAATAAGGGAGCTTATCTCCTGCGATACGTTAGTGTTACTATAAATTGATATTTTGCATGATATTTGATTCCCGCCAATTTGCGATAAACTACCTATCAAAACTTCAAGTTTTATGTGAACAATTACTTAAGAGTGCGTAAAATATCCCTAATTGTGTGTCTCCTACTGCATATTATCCCCAGAGAGGTAACCCTGCAGAATTTGGTGTCTTTTCCTGTTTACAGGACATTGAAGTAACCAAACTTGGCTTTGCCCCTCGCAACAAATCGGAGCTATGTTATATCTTTTTCTTTTAATGCATTCCTTTTCTCTCTTGGGCAATGTCTCCCTAGGCACCTCTCATACGACATTAGCCGTTCAAACACGTATATTTACATTCTGTGTTGCATTTGCATACATGTCGTTAGGAAACCAAATTGCATTATATGAGACTGTATACTACAATTTACAGTGATACGGCCAGTGTAGGAATACAGCTGGTACAAGATAAACAAACATGGCCGCCCGATACTTTCGATATCAATAGGCCTATAGTCGGAAAACATTCTGGGTTCGTTAGCATTTAGCAATATAGGGTCATCGCAAAAAAATAAAGCAACTTGACAAATTATGACAATATATATTTATTATAAGTTGTGTAGGTACCACAAAATTATTGTAAGCACCATTCTAGATACGAAATTACCAAGTTTGTCAACGTCATCACACAGGGGATCGGCTTCGAGATTTTGAGTTATGCATAACATCAGTGAATAACCACAACGCTAAAATGCAGCATTTCTAAAACCTTGTAAAAGTCGAGGGTATCGACAAGGTTTTAGAATGTGTATACATACCTTTTTAAGTGTTGTGGTTTTTCAGTGATTTCATCCATTACTCAAAATCACGAAACCGAGCCCCTGTGAACGTCGTCTGCTAGCGATGCTAATTAATCTGACCGATTAGACATGGAATCTGTTTCAAACGAAATGTCCTTGGAATCGTTATCACCTACTGAAAGGACCACTTTAATTAAACATTTCCGAGTATATATGCTTCTGAAAATAACGTAATATTCCAGTTGAAGGAAACATAAGCGTTTCTGAGGAAACAATCAAGTCCGTTCAGCGCCGCATCACTTCAAAATACATGTAATCTATCAATGCGCGAAAAACAGCTTTAATTTTAAACAAGCAGAAGTTATGCAATTATTAACAATTTTTCAACATATACACACTCATATGAAATAAATAATAAAGTTAAGTTTGTGATCAAACCATTTTATGTGCGTGTCGTTTTCAATGACACGAGGGACTATATTGTTTCTTCTGGAAATGTCGGCTGTTCTGGGATTTGAACTTACTGACGTCACTGATATGATAAGCGGGAAATTCAAAAGTATTTTTGCTTCAGTTACTATACAAACAAACTATATACCTAACGGGCGACATTCTATTTATCTGTCACCCAAATTGCATTCATATCGACTGTATACTGCATCTGGTAACAGTTCAATGCTTAAATGAAAAGAAACAATACACTCTCGGATCGTCAACTGAATCGTTAAACGAACTCAAAATCGGTAAAACAAAGGCACAATATGAACAGAAGAAATATTTATACGGAGACCATTAAAATGTAGAAGGGGAATAAGACCATTTGTTCTGGTAAGGCAGACGTTTTCTGCTTCGTCGACAACGCAAGTCATGTAAATCTAGGTTAATTGCAAGTAATGGCAAGTGATCATAGCGAGAACTGAGGTAGTATCAGCAGTTCCAAAAACATTGACCTTCATATTAAACGATGAAAAAGAATACTTCCCAATGAGATTATTATGGCGACTTTAAAATTTGTCTACGCTCTTCATCAAACTGCATTTTTTAAATCCTATGTTGTAAGTTTCTCTCTAAGAAATCGACATCTATCGCGTAAGTCATAATGTTACATTTGTATGAACATGCTCTTGAATGCCGAATTACCTGTGTCATGAAGTCGAATAAACTAACAAATGTTCTAACAACATCTGACACATTCCAGAGACGAGATGACCAATTAAAGATATCTACCAGGTAACGTTTGACCTTTTTATACGAAATTTGGTTTCCATTGCTTCTATAAATAATGCTGATGTCTTTCACATTTTATTTTATTTTATTTGTATAGAATCCGGATAATTAATATCCAAAATGAAAATTAAATATGCTCCCTGAATTATAACTATTTTATATTTTCCTGTATTTTTGTAGGGTTTTGGTTTCGTATAAACATTTTATAACGGTTTTTTTATAATGTATTAATTTATGGATTATTTGTTTTCTTTAACTTTTGTATTACAATTATGTTCGTGTGTAAGCGTTGTAGTATATTTTGGCTATTTTAATAGATATCTCAAGTGTTTGAAATAGGGCTTGAGACCAATTATCAATGTTTCCTCTTCTTTGCCCTACAGGGGTGCCTACATCATTCGCCTTAGTGATGACGCAGCTTATCGCACCAGGCGAAAACATGAACAAATCGGCCTACGTTATTAAAAGTAATACTCATACGATACATGGGAAACTGCATGTAAATTGTTATTATCCTTACATGTTCATCGCAATTGATAAGCAAAAAGAAGATTGTTTTACGATGTACTGATGCAAGGCAGTATGTGTAACTGTGACCAGGGAGTTTAATTTTCCATTTCGTTGTATCTTGAAATGTGTTTGCTTTTAATCTTTTGAGAGAAAAAAACACTTAAAAACTGATATGCAATTAGACAAATTCGTTTCAGATATTTATATAAAAAAAAAAATCGGTAATGTGTTATACTGACACAAATGTTATATTTGATTTAAATTTACATAGCAACACCTTATTTGTAATTTGACATCTTCATATGTATTCTATTTAAAATTTGATATTTCGACAGGCATAACAATACTGTGACAATTAGAATTGTGTCATGTCATTTGCAACTCGATAATTACATTAGACACCTGCAGAGTATTACATTGGATACATTTACTCAAAGTAAACTGTTCTTGACATGGGCAAATTTTAATGATAATGGAATCGGATTTATTTGAACGAGATTGAACGATCTAGATGTTATAAAAAGGCGAGGAACCCTTCTGTTTGTCATCCCTTCGGTGTCCAGCTGCAGGAATAACATTCAACAGCTGTACGTGAGACTCAACACTATCACCATGAAGACCAGCGTCTGTTTGGCCGTGTTTGGTGCCTTGTTGGTAATGTGTATCTCGTCAGCCGAAGGGTCACTTAAGTAAGTAAATTGTCCACATCGAATTTCTGCAATTTTGTTTTATACATTCGAATATGAGAAAAATAATGTTTGGCGTATTATAGTTGATACTTAATTTTGTGTTTGAATGATTACTAATGGATGGGGTTTTATTCCTTTTCTCCTCCTAGAGACATAATCATATTTGATAAAGATTATTTGTTGTTTTGTGTTGGAATTGTTACTAACGCGGTTTTATTTTTTAATTTACTAACATAAATATTGTTGTCTATTAACGAGATAAATACGCATCAATACAACTTATTTACTCTCCTTATACTAGTTTATGTGTTCATTTTGCGTTCGAATTTTTACAAATGCATTTTATTCTTGTCTCTACCAGATTGAAATATCTTTTTTTTTTTTTTTTTTTTTTAATTTCGCGTTTGCATATAACTTGAATTACAAAATGTATAGGTTTTTATAATTATTTGTAGTAAAGCGATATTGTATTATATAGTATACATATATCCATATATAAATATATAATATCCTGACTAATTCAGTCCGCTTGATGAGGTAAGGAAGGCAAAAATATCAGTCTAGTGTGGTATATAATTGATTCACATGTTCTTTTTTAAGGGCTTTTTAATTTGTTATCGTGCTCTGTCCCGGTGTTGAACTTACGGCATCTAATCGCCTAGCCGAGAAATCTTACCATTGCACCGTCAAGCTCCCCTAAAAGCAGGGTTCGAAGTTGCGACAGTAAACTGTCCGATACTCTCGACATACTCATAGTGATAGTGTGGAAGGCCGCGATGGTGAAATGGTCAGGAGATATGTCTCTGCTAGATAATTTGGTCATGGCGATTGTGAGTTTGGGGCACGGACAAGGCACGAGTAAAAGCATTACCCGGCCACGTCAACAGCTTTGTTTCTATGTTTCATATCAATTTATAAACACATAGTAGCATGTGTACTGGTGTACACTGATCCAAAGGTTTTAGATATGAAGTACCCGCTGTAATTGTACTGTGTCTACTATAATGAGGATATTTCACTGTTTCCTGTTGAATAAAACATACATTTCTAGCGTATGGCAAAAAACAATACATTCACGAACTCTATATTGATATTGAAGATATTGGTATATGTTTGCTATTTTAGTGAAATATAAATCGCATCCAATAGGAAATCCATTAATTTTTTTAATTATCTCACTTTACTTATTAATGACAATACCAAAAATTAAAACATGAAAGATTGCATCATGCTTGGCAAAAAGGCTATTATTTGGTACGCAATTGTTGGGTACAAAAATATGTAATAAATTTCGCAGTTATGTTAATTATTCAGTATATGTAATAAAGATACATGTTATAATGTTATAAATAATCATACACTTAGGATTCGACATCGATCTTCTATGTACCTTAAGGGGTTTTTCCGAAAAAATCTTAATATTTGCGAAGTCTTTAATTTTTGATGGGTTGGGTTCATAAAAATCTCTAGCAAAAAGTTGCAAACAGTAATTACGATGTTATATTATACGACCAATCACATGCATTTACTAGAAATACATATTCATAAGACAGAACCTTGAAGAACAGCTTAGCAGGTAATAAACAATTTTGTTAACACATTGAAGACATATATAAATAAATTACAGACCCCTGTGCGCTAACACGTGAGCCAACAAGAGTAAATAATTTAAGTTATTAAATTGTCTCATAACATTTAAGCAATAAGTATACTTTATATACTAAACAACTGTTTTGCTAGTGTTGTGGCAATTTTTTAACCGATTTATACGAATTTTAAACAGAAATCCAACGTTTAAATGTTAATTTTCATTGTTCAATTTACAAATGGTATTTAGTTGTAAATACTTCTAAATGTTTATGATCCATATTTAGTATATATGTTAAGTATCTTGGAAACGTTGATAACCATATTCCTGTTCCAATCACTATAATTGGTAAATAAGAAAATGGACATGGACGACGATTTAAATTTAATAGCAAGTCATTTAAAATGAAACGAGTCCTTCCAACAAAGCAATACTTATCTAGTCTTGCCTTCAGAGAACCGCTAAATATTACAAAAAGGCAACAAACGTCATAAGTAATGTCAAGAGTCTTGATATGATCTTGTCCCATTTAAATAATAATTAAATCGCTCCTGAAGCTCGGAAGGATCTCTGCACCAATTAATTCTGGTTTTCTGTATATACAATAACCTTCCCTTAATTTCGTTTAGAACAGAACTGTTGCACACGCTTTCTTGAATATTTCCGTTGACCAAGTAGCTCAGCAGGTAGGAGGAAATGTATATAGGGACTGAATGGATTTTTTTTGTGCCACGAAAATCGTTGTATTCATAGTGTAAAGGGTCAAAGGCCATGTCATCAAATGATTTGATAATCTTTTGTCAGGCAGTTAACGCTTTGAGACTGATCTAGAACCTACATTTCGTTGAAAGATATCTAGAAGAATAAGGACTCAGAAGTAAGTGCATGACATAGAAAGTGTTTTTCCAGCTCCAGGTGTCCGAAGCCATGTGAAAGGCCAGTCCGTGTACGGGAGCTCGTGTCCTACCGGTACTGGGTTTGGGGCAGATACTATACCTTCACATATTACACGTAAGTAGTTTATTCATATTTGTAATGGACAACGATAACAGATACATTTACGTCACACATTTTGTAGACGGTGGCGAGGCGTAGGTAGAGGATGGTGGCAACATTTGGTGTATTGTTTTTGGGGCCATTTTGTACAATTGTTTAGACACTATGCAGACATATTACCTAAGATTGTATTTCTTAAACATATCCATGTCTCAGGATAAAATGATCCCTGAGATAAATTCCAGAAACTCATAAGATTATATTATATCTTTTTGTTTCATCATTTAACAGGTGGGTATACAGGATGAAAACCGTGACATGTTACGAATATTGTCCTAGTAAGTATTGTCCTGGAAGATGACTCTGCCATTGGAACTATATGCTATTTTTTGCAGAAACTAAATGAGTTTCTATGCTGAAATAAAAGAGAGAACAAAAATAGATAAATATAAACAAATATGCAAGCTACGGGGATTTTTAGTTTTCCGTTGGCAGCAGCAGCATATGCTTGTACATAAAAATAATCCACTAATGCTGCAAAACCACTCTTGTTATATATTCCACTATAATACACGCACATACGTTGATGATCTCTCAAATTGAAATGTGGCAATTGACATTAGCGATCTTACAATTTCCAGGACTTATGGCATATTTTTCGTTGGTTGTTGTTTGACATTTCTTTTTCAATCGTTAGACTACGATAAAATTCGAATCCCGATAAGGCAAATTGCAGACTCGTGAATTATTATCACAAACATGTGCACTAAAAGTTACAAAATCTTTTGACGTTTTGTTTCAGTTGACTGTGAATGGAGCGACTGGATATACAAAACTAATGAGGACTGGAGCGCGTGTTCTGTAACATGTGAAAAAGGACATGAATCTAGACCTATGACACGCTCGATAAAGACTCAGGCTGCATATGGCGGCAACCAATGCGTTGGACCTGACGAGAAGTTAGACTACAGAGATTGCGACATGAAAGAGTGTCCCCGTAAGAAACGATGAATTAAAATATACCATGTTCGGTGGGTGGCATGTAATTGCTTATGTATCATTTATGACGTCACATTTCACAATAATATGACAACGCTTAAAAGGAGAAATCATGGTATGAACATAATTATATTGCATGGAATATTTTTGTACTCCCGCTATAGTTTTAGTTGCTATGCTATAAGAAAAAAAAAATATACGCTGAAATATTTTGAATTTCAACTGCTGAATATTTAGTTTCAATACTGAATAAAGAAAAAAGAGGATGAATGTATTTGATACAGATGCAAATACGCATCCAGTCATTAATTACCCCGTTTTGGCTTTCCATAAATATGCATGAAGACAATTGTTTCTTATCAATCTTCTAAAACTGGGTAAAAACAAATACTTTACTTACGAATTATTTGAGAACATCTTGATAGAATCTTGATTGATTGTGAAAAGTTAAATGTCAAAACTTAATAAAGAGGATGGTTGCATTTTTCAGATACCATTTGTAAAAATGCAGGCGGAGTTGGTCATCATACCCACCTTCAAAAGTGCGATAAATTTGTTCAGTGTGAAACCGGAAAAGCGCACGTAAAGTCATGTCCAAGTGGAACTGCATGGGACAGCATTGGAAGCAAGCAGTGTTCTAGCGATGCCGTTGGCCACTGTCAAGGTGAGTTACAGACATGAATAGCTGTTTCATCATGCTAATATCCTCTTACTTCCGGTTTAGTTTTCCCGATTAGTTTTTCTCTAGTTTAGCTACTTCCATTCCAGTCGTCTACATGTATGTTCTAATTATGCATACCAGCTCTTATGAAAACTCCGAACATGTTTGTAACTTGGTTTCAGATTTTCATTTTTAACGTCTTTAATTTCTGCGTCAAAAAATCGCAAATACAATGTCTGCCAAACCTCTGAATATACGATGTTCCGTTTATATTTCAAATTATGTAAGCAAACAAGTAAATATTTGATTCAATAAAAATTAAATAAACCTGAGGAAATAATCGCTAGCAACAATCTTCTTTAAAACAATTGGTGTGGCTAGTACATACGCCACTACAATGTACCAGTATTACCAAATTCCAAAACGAATGCCATTCAATATACTAGTGTTTCTGTTTAAATGTACCACTAAGTAAACAGGGGAAGTAACTCTCTCTTAGGTATCGCTTGCATAAGAGGTATGCACTACCCTCACGAGGATGATTGTTCCAAATTCTACAAGTGCGATCACAACCAGATGCTCCTACAGAAATGCCCGGACAATCAGTACTGGGACATCCGTGATAACACGTGCACGACCGACAAGAATGCGTGTGAAAAAGCCCGGGAATCGGGGGCCTACCAACCACAAGGTAAAAGTACAATTAGATGAATTCATCTTGGAACTGTTTGAATGAAACGGTAGGGTTAGCTGAACACAACTGCAGCCCCAGCCTTTGTAAAAGACGCGAGCCTAATAGTCTTTATTCATGAATTTCCACCGTTTTATAGAATGTAAAAGGTTCATTTTTTAACACGGAAAGAAACTGAAATATTTTGACTCCGTTGAACCGAAAACGACGCTGTACCAAAGTCACCCTAAAATATTTCCGTCAGTCGCATCGTCGGCTATAATTCATAACGTCGCCAGTGAAAGATAGAAACGGGTTGTTGTGGCGCTGATACAGCAATGTGTTAGGCATAAAAAGGTTTGGGAAAGAGGAACATTGATAATATATTTTTCAATGATTATTTTTTCGATTTCGATATAACAAGCCGCGAAAATCCAATTTGTTTCAGCTTGGACGCGATTCGTTTTGAACCCTCTCTGTATCGAATACTCAGCTAAATTATTGATCCCACTGCAGGGAAAACGCCTAAGAATTTCACAATGATAATTAGAATAGAGTACAAACAAGAATATCCGGAAGTTTATTTTCATATAAAAAATGTGAATGTATACTTATTTGTTAATATATATGTATGACGAATACTGATACTTGATCGAATATTTTGAACAGTATGTACATTATTTAAAGGCGATTCTAGTCGCCCATGTACATTGTATGTATATATTATATATGTTTATGTCATAAAATTTTGGAAAATATAATAAAAAATAAAAAATAAATTAAAAAAATCATAATAGTTTTCCGTACGAACAGTAGCCTTTCCTTATTTTATTTTGTTCTAAATATCACCTTAAAATGGTAGTTGTTATTCCCTGCTTAACGTTTAGAATTAAGGGTAATGGCAACAACTGGTTCACTCGTTGTCAGTATAACGTGACAATAAAGTCGGCATCAGATCACAAGGAGGCAGCAAGAACACCAACACATCGTATCTCCAGCACAAGCATCAACAACATACACGGAGGCACGTCCTCAAATGACCTAAGCTGTTAATAGGACGTTACACAAAATAAAAACCAAACCCTGGATAGGAGGGGTCGGTTGCAGCTTCTACTTCGTTTAAATCATCTTCACATACATTTGTTTTCATAAAAGTTTCTAAAGGTATGATTCTCTTTCCAGCAATCATTCATAAAAAGTATAGAAAAAACTTCTAATGCATATTTACAGTTTCAGAGAGTACATGTAGTACTGGAATTCGTAACATAAATAGGAAAGAATAAGCGCGCGCTTACCCATTTAAATACCTGTAAATAATATATTTGTTCAACATTTTGACCTTATTTTAGCCTTTGTTTTATCGGGTTTTTTAGTTTGAGTTGTGGTTTTGTTGACATTTGTTTTTGTTTTTGGACGGGGATGTATCTCTCTTGGACAGTTGAAAGCGCCATTTACAAGATCATGCTCACAATAAACAGTTTTAATGAAAATAATACGCTTTATTGGAAAACCTGGTATTCATACTGATCACAGAACATTTGCTTTTTAAAACAGATTTGAAATGCGATAAAGTAGGAGAGAAAGTTGCTTTCTGGGGACATTGCAACAAGTATTACGTATGCACTGCTAAAGGATTGACGAAAATGGATTGCCCACAAGGTACCCTGTTCAATGCTACCAGCCTTGAGTGTCAGCACAAGGGAGATGTGAGCTGTGTAAACGGTAGGTACATCCTAAGTCCATTGTTGACCTGAAAATATTACCTGCAAATTAAGCATGTAAATGTGGCTAAATCGCATATGACGAATAATACTACGTCAGAGTACGATTTTGAATATAACAGCTAGAATCAGGTCATGTTAAAAGACGGGAAACGAAATATTAGAAAGAATGGAAGCTGAAACACTTGAAAAACAAACAGGTAAAGCTATGTCTGTGAATGTAATGAATGTAATGAATGTCAGTAATCTCTGTGACTGTAACATATAACAGTAATCTCTGTGACTGTAACATAAAACAGTAATATCTGTGACTGTAACATAAAACAGTAATCTATGTGACTGGAACATAAGACAGTAATGTCTGTGACTGTAACATAAAACAGTAATCTATGTGACTGTAACATGAAACAGTAATATATGGGACTGTAACATAAAACAGTAATATCTGTGACTGTAACATATAACAGTAATCTATGTGACTGTAACATAAAACAGTAATCTCTGTGACTGTAACATATAACACTAATCTCTGTGACTGTAACATATAACAGTAATCTCTGTGGCTGTAACATAAAACAGTAATCTCTGTGACTGTAACATATAACACTAATCTCTGTGACTGTAACATATAACAGTAATCTCTGTGACTGTAACATATAACAGTAATATCTGTGACTGTAACATAAAACAGTCATATCTGTGACTGTAACATAAAACAGTAATCTCTGTGTCTGTAACATAAAACAGTAATATATGTGACTGTAACATAAAACAGTAATCTATGTGACTGTAACATGAAACAGTAATATATGGGACTGTAACATAAAACAGTAATATCTGTGACTGTAACATATAACAGTAATCTATGTGACTGTAACATAAAACAGTAATCTCTGTGACTGTAACATATAACACTAATCTCTGTGACTGTAACATATAACAGTAATCTCTGTGACTGTAACATATAACAGTAATCTCTGTGGCTGTAACATAAAACAGTAATCTCTGTGACTGTAACATAAAACAGAAATCTCTGTGACTGTAACATAAAACAGTAATATCTGTGACTGTCACATAAAACAGTAATCTATGTGACTGTAACATATAACAGTAATCTCTGTGACTGTAACATATAACCGTAATCTCTGTGACTGTAACATAAAACAGTAATCTCAGTGACTGTAACATAAAACAGTAATATCTGTGACTGTAACATAAAACTGTAATCACGTTGTTTTGATGTGTGTCAATACGATGCAGTTTGATTTAAATAGCCATGTGCCACCTTATAGACATTTAAGTGACTAAGACTGTTGGGTTTCTGTTCAGGCATTTTCGTTACATTGACGATGTACACGAACACTGTTAATTTTAATGTAAATGTAAATGAACGATCTGGTCCGATTATTTGTAAATATCCAAATATCCTTATATCGATATAACTGCAAATAACCTTACGTATTAACGACAAATAGCTAGTGTAATCCATAAAATGTATGTGTAAGCCGTCTGTGTTTATTAATATACTGATTTTTCAATAATAACAATTTAATCAACATTTATGCAAATTATTTAACCTGTATTTCTTGTTTACAGACGATGAAGATGATGAACCAGATACAGGTACGTACACTCTTCTTACTTTGATTTAAAACCATGATTAGAAAGATTGTTACATTTCGTTATTGTAAAGGTATATATTTTGTACACGAGACAATGTTTTAAGAAATCGGATTCAGCAGATTCGAATTTGTAGAGTTGAAGGCAATTTGTATGTTAAATGCCGCCAAGGTTTACAGATATGGGGCAATACGAGGAAGGTTTGGACTTAAGGAATAAACAGATGACACCAACGATTACAAATATCTGGTTATTAGAGGAAATGGGTTCGACTTAGATAGTTGGTAAATGCCGCCGATGTTTACAGTGATCAGGTTAGCATGAGGAAGGTTTGGGCTAAAGTAATCAACAGATGACACCAATGATTAAAATTTCTGATTATTAGGGGAAATGGGTTCGACTTAGATCATTGGTAAATGACTCCATAGTTAACAATATCGAGTTATTGGCGGACGATCTGCACTTCCGTCATTGGTAAACGACGAGTATTTAAACCTATACGTTATTTGGAGGTATATAACAAATAAAATATATATACCTCCCTATAAGAACAAGAATATATGCAATAAATACACTTTAAAAACAAACAAATATTTTTATTTTTTATGAACATATCTACATAATATAAGCCACATTGGCCAATTTCGAATCCCCCCAACGACACAAATACACTAGTAAGGATCAACAATCACAGATACAACATCCGGCACGACACACCATTTCGGACCAAGGAGTCGTCTCCAAATTACACCACAAGATAAGGATAGGATAGAATAGACGACTCCAAACCACCCCCCGAGGGAAGGCAACTTCACTCACGCCGACTGAACACTGACTTCCGTCAGTGAGATGAAACCCGTAAGGGTGGATTCATGTAGGCGCGAAATCCGTCATCCATCCATCCATTGGAGTACTATTTCTATACCTGAAGTTGATACTTTCGATTTGCATATTTTGTTTCCTGTAATAACGTAAATATAACCTATTGAAATGTTCCCATTGTATTGCAATAATCTGAAACCATCTGTTTTGTATGTGAAGTATAACCTGAATTGATACTAATCATTGTCTATAACCACTTATAACGCTAGTTAACGACTTCATATTAACTGGAATATTTCTGTATTGAAGAAGAACCAAAGAAATGCACAAACGGTGAATTTCTCGCCGATGTTGATGACCCTAGTGCATTCTACCGGTGCGCGCATGGGGTAAGAATAGGACCGACGAAATGCACTGGTGGACTTGTCTTCAGCAAAACGCACGGCTGTGGCTGGAAGACGAAATGATGACAAATATTACGATGACGTCATTGGTGAACCGGAAACAAACCACTGTTCCGTTGTCCTTGATCTCTTTTCTGTTTCTATTGCTTTGTCTGTGTGCTCTTTAAGGCGCGGAAGTGCCAGAAGTTGCTAACTAGAATCGATAACAACAGCTGGTTCGCGTTGAGGTAAAACAGTCAGATCCCATGTCATCATACAAGTTAGACAAAACAATAACTAACAACGCGATGAGGAATTGTAACAACTTGAATTATTTTCAACATTTATGTTGGAGTTTAAATCTTATACCATGTACATTGTATCGATTAAAACAGAAATATTAATTTTTAGGTTAAATGGAATTGACATCGTCTATACACCTGTACGTGGGGGATGATATAAAAGGTCTTATACTATGTGTGTTAAAATAAGACAAGAGTCTTTTCAGTACCGAACCTGGAAGTGTTAGCCTAATTTGTTTTCCCTTTTTTATGTAAATGTTGTAATATGTTCTATATTTCTGCATTCCTTCAATAAATTTCTTGCAAATAAGTTGGCGTTTTTGTCTCTATATAAAGGAGTTGAATTCCCTTTGAAATACGTCTTAAGGTAATAGGAATGTGTCACCATTTCTCAGTAGAATTTCTTCAAATTTTGGAGTTATATTGCTTTAAAGTAAAGAAAATTTTCTGCCACAAAAAAAAATATAGGTTGTCAGAATTTTAAGGATTTTAAATGGAAATTTATGTAAAAAGGAGTGAATTTTGAAAAAAAAATGAAAGACAAAATAATGTCAATAAAAATGATACTGACATATATCAGTATTGCATTAATGTATATCAATTTAATAAATGCTGAAATTGTGTAAAATTGATTCTCTATACACGATATAAAAATTGACATTTTATAATAAAACCATATACACATAGTAATTGCAGGTAAGAGTTATCGTTCTTGAAAAACTTCACAGTAGTGAAATAGGTAGCCGGTTTCCTGAAGTACAGAAAAATGGACACATGTGACTCATTGATAAAAAAACCCACCTGAATTAATGTCTGGATTGCTTTGAACTACTTAAATATTGAGAGAACACACTGTTCTGTCAATAATAAACATACAATATTCATCAATTTAATATTAAACATTAGAATTTGCGGAAATTGTGATGCTGTCTCCCTACATTGGTTATTCAACTAGGGATGTACTTCCTGTTTCCGTCCAATGACCTTAAATACTATACAGAGGATTTTTAATGTTTTCTTGTTGAATATCAAATAATATTTCACGAGTTTTGCAGAACACATATTTCACAACTGTGCGATGTACAGGTAAAAGGTTATATGATATTAAACAGGAAAACCATCAATAAATAAATTGCATTTTCTTGTGTGTTAAAAATAATCACTGCATCATTAATGTACAGGAATAAGTTGCGTTTTTAGTGCTGTCTTCTGATGATGTCACGCTTGAAAATAAAGCTGTGCCATTTTAAATGAGCTGCTAATGATCGGTGTAGATTTTGTAGATTTTCTACTACTTTATGGAACGGTTTACTTATAAAAATGTAACTTCGAGTGGCATGTGCCGCTAGCCAGATCGTTGGTTTACATTTCTTCACCAAACATTGTAAAACATACAACGAAACCGGTGATGTGGGAACAGATTGGTTTTTTTTTAATCTATATTTTTTTCAGGGATGTATGGTTAGATTCAGAGTCCTCTGAGAGATGTAGCCGGAGTTTCCTCTGGCCCTGACATAAGATTTACACATTTTGAAAATGTTGGGACACTAGACATCTACCTGTCAAAATGTCTAAGTCTGATGTCAGGGCCAGATAAAACTCGGGCTATCTGAGATGAAAAAGAAAACATGTTAACCTACTGAAATGACAGAAAACATAGGCACCGACTGAAATAAATGGCATAAAAATCTAGTCAATACGAAAAAATGAAATAACCTACTGAAATGATACAGAATACATAGTATATTACTGAAATCACATAGAAAACAAGACAAACAGTACGTGGTTAAGTAAAAACATCAGGTTATAACGATTAAATATCTAATGTTGTTATATCATCATACATGCAAAGATTACCAAGTTTACTCTGTTATTACAACTTCCACCTTTGAGAATGAGTAGTCCATACAAATCACATGTTATGATGCAATTTAACAGGATAACGGATGTTCGAATTAACAGAAAAAATAAACAAAACTGCAGGACTCCAACTCAGATTAAGGTTGCAAAACAGTCGTACAGAAATTATAAATGCATACAAAGAAATGACTCGACAAATTATTAGCAACTAAGCCTAGGAAAATGTGACAGGGGAAGTTACTCTTAGCCAGAAAAGAAGTATTTTTGGTTGCAGAAAAGGGGGAGTAATCCATGAAAGAAAACTAAGTGGAAATATTCAAATAGATCATTGTACTTAGTTCAAGCTACAGATTTTATTGGATTCGACATTTTGTTCGCCGTACCCCGACAGTTCTATGGATTTAAGATTTGGTTTCTTTATTCTGTGGTACCAAAAAATAGACATCTAGAGACATAACAATATCAGTGTTGGCACTGTTACAACTATACAGTAACAATTTAGAGATATACTTAGAAATGGAATCAAATAGGGTATTTAATACGTTGGTCAGAGAATTTTACATCTGCGATGCCTGGTTAATGAATGGTATTTCGGATGCATGTCAGTTCCTATTCTCTTCTGTATTGTGGTTTAGCTGTTTACAAAGTTTAACGTTTGATTTAAAAAAAAAAAAAAAAAAAAAAAAGATTATATATCGGTAAACCTTGTCTTTTCTTTTCTTTGTATCATTCATTATAACCATTCACTTAGAACAATGATTACAGTATATGCAGCTGGATTGAGAATGTAACGGTCTTCACGTTTTGGGGAAATTTGGCCGATATATATTTTATCGAGATAAAGTCTCGGTGTCTTCTTCCTTGCGTTTTTCGTGAGATGCAAATGGTGAAAAATTATCGGCATGATCTGAATATTTACCGACGATCGTGTTAGATCTGCAATAATCAACGGTATCAAAATAGTGTTTTAGAGACAATTAACGTGTGTTTTGCGAATTATGGTGGCAGATATAACAAGGATGAGAAAATGTTGGGAAACTATCTAATTAACAAATTGACAAATTTTCCAACATTTTTGAATCGCGAGTTATATCTACCAATCAAAAGTTATCTATCAACTTAAAGTAAACACTCATGGAAACGTTTGGAAGTGGAGTTTTTTAAATTCATATAATTCAAAACGCCATCATCTTACGTGACCAGTATGTGCACCACTAGTTTTGTATAGAATCCTGTGTAATTGTAATGCGACCTTATAATCTTGCAAAAATGGAGTTTAAATTGAAAAAAAAATCAATTACACTTGATCTATTCTGAATGTTATAGTACCTGCAGTTCCATAAGGCATCCGATATAAACGCTCTTGGACACACATATTTTGAATGTAAGAGTATTGTTTTAATTATCAGGAATTCTTTCAAAACAATTATGAAAAACATCAGCAATATCTACAGGGGCATTAAAAACCACACTTCGTTTGCAAAATCAACTGTTTTGAATATTTCAAGTGAATCTTTTTGGTTCATCATTATCTCGTCGTTGGGACGCATTTAAGTAGGATTGGTAATTTGGTCTTTTAAACCTATATTTATTTGGCATTTATTTTTTATTTAACTTGTCTACAACATATCAAGTCTATAAACACGGTGTATCTAGCGAAACAGTCGATGGAAAGATTAGATTCACTCTTCAAGACACATTTGAACCATTCCAATTCAAAGGTTGAAATAGTTCATTATGAAATATCAGGGGTGAATGAGTTAAGTTATCACATAACCAAATCTAACGACATGGAAATCCAAAAACTAATCAGGAGAGTGATAGATTGTGGTGTTTCCAAAATGTAAAAACAAAAACAGATAGAGATCACATTACATCTCCAGCAAATATGCAGGCATACACACATAACGTGAACGGAAATAAACTCAGAACATATAGGCAATACAAAAAATGATATAGGCACAGAGAACTATGTGAAATCGGACATTCCACGAACCAATAGACAATGGAGACTGGATATAAGCCAGGCCGCCCATTCAACTTCATGATAGACTGTGTACCCATTGTGACACGAGGAAAGTCGAAGACGAAAAACATTTGTTAATTGAGTGCAAACTGTACAGTGATTTAAGATATAATTTGCTAAATTCCTGTGATGTTATAGAGGGGTTCTTAGTGCAGGACAGTGACACACAGTTCCTTAACATAATGAAAAATGGTGTACTCCAGCCAAATATAGGTAAATGTATTTTATTTTTACCAGTACATAATGATATATCATCCGATAAAGTACTAAAGCGGTTTTCTCGCTAAAGTTGGTAGTACAGGAATAGGTAATGAAATACCTTATAATTAGCAAACAAATATGTATATCGGTCTCTTTAAAAGTGGTGGCTCTTATACTTTAATGTATATTATTGCCTTTTTGGAGTCTCTTAAGTCAAATTTTCTTGACACCAATGTGTAACAGTGCTATAATATCTTATGATAAGCTATAGTAAGCTGACAAAAATATTGTTTTTTTTTTAACTTTTAACCAACTTCCTGTATTTGCTAATTGTATCAATTGTATATCTATGTGCTGTAAAGACCTTTAGAGTGGCTTATGTTAGCTAGTTAGGGCGCTATATCAAATGTTGTATATTATTATTATTATTATCATTAGTATCCCTAGTGGTGAAATGGGGACAGTAGGTCCATTTTTGATAATTCAATGTCCTCTTAGCAGAAGAAACCACTGATTTTGACGAGGTTTCCACATAAGTCGTTTCTTGAGCCAACATGCAGTGAAATACAGCAGGCTTGTTTAAACATCATACACATTATAAATGATACTTTTCGCACACTTCAATATGTTTTTCAGTAAAACTTGAAATATTGATAGATTGATACAAAGTCAATATCTGTGAACCAAATATCATTGAAAACAATTATAAAACTTCAGTAACCCTTTAAAAAAAAAAAAAAAAAAAAAAACAATGACCGACATCACGACGGAAGATAGCTCCATTATAAAGATATGTCTCCCCGATTAAGGACGTGCTAGGTTTTGGTGGTGGAGGAGAGCCGAAGTTCCCGGAGAAAAACCAACGGCCTACGGCCAGTACCTGGCAACTGCTGATACTGAAACCAGTCGTATTCCTACCAAACCAGTCGTATTCCTACCATATCAGTTTTCGCTATGGAAGAGTCGTTGTAACACAACCTGAAAGAAAGGAATTTGTCAATTTTTCTTAAAAGTTACCTCGAAGTGCAGATTTGTTCTCGCCATTTCCCTGTGGACTGAACAAGTAAGGATCATTGATTCCCCACATTGGTATTGTACAGTAAGTAGAGTTAAGATTATTCCAAGTAAACATTCGATACTTTTTTCTCTTGGTCTTTTAATACTCATTTGTTCAGTGTTATTTTCTTTTGGTTTAGTAATGCTCCATTGCAGATGAATACCCT